GACAGGAGCCTCTGTGGTCCCTGGGCTGCCCAGGTGCTTCTTCCTCTTGAGAGATTCACAGCAGGGTACATTCAAGGCCAAATTAGTAAAAGGATACGTGTGCATTTTAGTGTATTAATATGGTGAGAGAATAATGCAATATATGTACTTATATCTATATCGGTGTGTTTCTAGGTGTAGCATTTTATGTACTAAGTGAGGTTTTGTAATATCGCCCCCTCCCCACTTTGTTTCTTTTTGTGATTCACTGGAGGCCGGGGAGGAGGGAACTGAGGCCTTGGCGCTTGGAGTGAGCCAGGCTGCTCTGTTTGCTCCCCTCCCTCCACACCGGACCCTCGGGTGCACCGAGCCCAGCCTGCCTGACTGAGCTCCTCTCTCCCTCTGTGTGTGGGGCTGAAGCCCAGAATGATGCCCACAAGGAATGTTTTCCTACTTTTGTACAACATATGCAAATAAACCGCAAGAAATTGGGAAAATAAAAGCAACTACCTATTTTTAGGGTATCAAGAGAAGAGAGGAACATGCTAAACAAACCGGGACTGAAACAAAGCAACATTTATATACTGGCAAAGGTGAAAACTCAGTTTCTTCAACAAATGCATTTCGAGGAAAACCGAGAAGATGGGGCCCCCACGATCTTCAAGTAAAGGTGATTTGCGATGTGGGGGACTCATTTGAGCTTTCAGGGAAACAAAATCCTATATTCATATATGTAAGTCTATATTCATATATAAGACAACTGCACGTGCAGACACTGGCTGGAGGTTTGTCAATATTAAGGAGGTGTTTTAAATTTACATGGATAATGACACTGTCTGTGGTCTGTTCAGGCTGTAAGATACCACAGGCCGCATGTGGTACAAACTGGCTTCTCCCGGTCTGGGGCCGGGAAGTCCAGCCCCGAGGCGTAGCACTGGTGCCTGGTGAGGCCACTTCCTGGCTCACTGATGGGCTGAGCAGAAGAGAAAGGCTCTGTTTGGCCCCAAAGGGCACTAATCCTATCACTGAGGGCCCCACCCCATCCTGTCATTTCCCAAAGGTCAACCCAATGCCAGCACACTAGGCATTCATTTCCAACATGTAAATCTGGGGGAAGTGACGCAAACGTTCGGTCTTCAGAGGTATTGTATCTTAAATGCCCTTGTCTTTTGGATGTTCACACTGAAATAGTCACAAAGGAAACAGATGTCTGGACTTTGCTTCAAAGGAGAGGGCACAGGGACAGACAGGACCCAGCTCGGCCACAGTCTGATAACTGCTGAGTCGCTGATGCTGGCTCAGTGTGTGTGAGCATTCATTACACTAGTTGTGCGTGTGTTACTGGGGATCAAACTCAGGACCTTGTGTTTGCCAGGCAAGCATGCGCCACTGAGCTATATTCCCCAGCCCCGCCCTTCTATTGTAAATAAAAAAGTTCTTAAAATAGGCAAATGGGAGGAAATGTGGTTTAAGAAAGATAAATTTGTCATCTAAAAAACACAGAGTGGCACATGCCTATAACCTCAGCACTTTGGGAAGCTGAGGCAGGAAGATCACTAAGTTTGAGCCCAGCCTAGGCAACTTAGTGAGATCCTGTATCAAAATAAAGAATAAAAAAGAGCCAGGTATGTAGCTCAATGCAGTCTCCAACACTGCCCCAACCAAAGAAAAGAAACTTATAGGTAGACAGTACAAGCAGGCCATCAGGGCAGCCTTCCACGTATCAGAGCGCCAGCCCTCAAGGCTGTGGTCCATCCTCTTCATCTGCCATTATCCTCAGGGACTGTTGGGGCTGCTTCAGCTCCAGCCCTCATGGCCACACCGGCCAGGAAGGATGGGGTGGAAAAGGGAAGCTCCTTTGTTTTTCTGCTATGCTGCCTAGGCTGTTCTCAAACTTCTGGGCTCAAGAGACCCTCCCACCTTGGCTGGGAAATGTGCCCCTGCACCTGTCCCACCTCCCTTTTGAAGACCACGTCCTAGAAGCCACACAAAGCATCTTTCCATGCAGGCACCAGACATAAGGCACAGGGCCATGTCTGGCTGCCGGAGAGACAGGGAACACAGTCTATTCTGAGTGAGCGCAGATCTGAAAATCAGGGCTCTGTTACCAAGGGAGAGGGGCAACTGCAGATCTAGGTATGGTTTGCAGGCCCAACATAACCCACTCAGAAGGGTAATCAGGTCTGTGAGGTGCCATAAACAGGCACCCAGTGCTGGCAGAGCTCACACCGTGGCTGGATGTGCCTGCCCTTCGCTTCCACAGATGCAGTTATGCTCGAAGTCACCGCCCTCCAAAGCTGGCTCTCTGCACTGGGAGCCGTTTCTCTTCCAGGAAGCTGCTGTTCCCAGTGCATCCCAGGACCACCTTGCCCTCTCCTCGGCTGCAGCTACAACAGCAGCCCCAGCTCCTGGGCCCTGCCTTGCTCCTCACCTTCCCCGAGGCTGAGCGGCCCCGTGGGTCCGCCCCAGAGCGGTGAGCAGCACAGGCAGAGGCCCTGTGGTGAGTGACCCCACACTGACTGCACTGCACACTGTGGCTTTGTATTTGCTGTTTGTGTTTTGGACATAGGGCCTTCCCTATGTAGTTTAGGTGGATTTGAAATCATGCTGTAGTCTCACCTGCCCTTGAACTCGGAAAGATCTTCTTGCCTCCGCTTAGGGTTTACAGGTATGCACCACCATGCCCAGCAATGCTTTTTTTTTTGGTACCAGGGACTGAACTCAGGACCTTGTACTTGCTAGGCAGGCGCAGTGCTACTGAGCTAAATCATCAGCCCAACAATGCTCATTTTTAAAAAACACCTTCAGGCGTGGTGACACAAGTCTGTAATCCCAGCACTCGGGAGTCTGAAGCAGGAGGATCACCTCCAGTTCAGGGCCAGCCTGTGCTACAGAATTCAAGACCAACTAGAACTATACAGCAACACCCTGTCTCAAAAAAATAACACCTGCCGGGCGTGGTGGCGCATGCCTATAATCCCAGCACTCTGGAGGCTGATGCAGGAGGATTGCTGTGAATTGGAGACCAGCCTGGCTACACAGTGAGTTCTAGGTCAGTCTTAACTACATAGTTGAGACCCTGTCTCAGAAAACAAGAAAAAAAGCCCCACAACCAAAAAAACACCTTAGATTTCTTTTGCATAAGATCTCACTATGTAGCCCAGCCTGGCCTTGAACTCTCAGTGACCCTCCCACCTCAGCCGCCCAAGTGCTGGATTACGGATGTGCCCTACCATGCCCAGTTTAAATTAATTGTTAAAAGAAATCTATCACTAGTGCAGATGAAAACATGGTATGGCCTGCTCTGACAGAAAGTAAATGAAAACCCAGCTAAGATTCTGCTCCAGAGTCTGAGTGGGATGCTTGTTTTCTCTTCGTTGAAGACAAGGCAGTTGGGACATGGTGTAGCTCAGCATGCGCAAGCCCTGAGCTCCATCCCTAGCACCAAGGAAGAAAAGAAAGACAAACTGGTCTCCTCCCTAAGGAAGTTACATGGGTGGAAAATTTTTTTGCATTTTGGCTTTTTTTTTTTTTTTTTGAGACAGAGTCTCATTCTATAGCACAAGCTGGCCCTGAACTGGAGACAATCCTCCTGCCTCGGCCTCCTGAGTGCTGGGATTACAGACACGCACCACTATACCTGGCTAATTTTTAATAATATCCTCCAGTGCTATGTAATGTCTCTCAGCCACCACCAACATTCACTACTCCTGGTGTACATGCTCCCACCTTGGGAAATATGGCTGAACTGTTCGCCTTCTTCCTCTGCAGGACAGGGACCTGAACAGCACCACCTCACAGGCCTATTGGGACTACTACATGAGATCGCACACCAAGTTTCAGGACATAAGGGCCTCACGGTCCAGTGCTCAAGGGCTGCTATCACCTGTGAGCTTTAGAGGGGGCGGGGACTGGAGTCCTGTCCGAAAGAACTAAACATGGCTTCCAAGGCAGGCGTGGTAGTACACGCCTGTCATCCCAGCACTTGGGAGGCTGAGGGAGGAGGATCACCAGTTCAAGGCCAGCCTGAACTACATATGGAGACCTTGTCAAAAAAACCAAACACAGCCGGGGATTTAGCTCAGTGGTTCTGCCGCCTGCCTTGCAAGCGCAAGGACCCCAGTTCGATCCCCGGTACCAAAAAAAAAAAAAAAAAAAAAAAAAACCCAAGCACACACACACAAGGCTTCCAAACCAGAACAACCCAAACTTCAAAGCACTGGGGAAGACAGGAGTCATAAAACCCCAAACACTTCATTTAACAATGGAAGACACTTTTATTATTTTTTAAAATCATCTCTCAACATTTTAACTCGGTAGAAATCAAATGCAAAACATCTGCGTTTTTAAATTAGCATATATTTAACTATCTTAATCACAGCAACCTCATACAGTAAGATACACAGCTAGGAGGAGCGTGGTCGTAGTATTTCCTATTCCAGTCTCTGAAGACAGTATTTCCGTGATGTTAGGTACACTGGACTTTATCTTCTTAGGACAACTTAGTCATTCCTGCTTTTGTCCACTGTAAATTACATGGCATCACGGTTGGTTAAGAGTTAAGATACTGTAATGCTGGAGCAAACTGGAAATGGAAAACTAGAAAACTAGAGCTCTTGGGAGTGGGCCAGGCATTGCCAGTTCTGAAATGTGAAAAGGAAGGAGGACATCAAAGATGAATGCCCCACATAGGCTGGTCTTAGTAATAAAGTTGGTTGAAATCCAACTTTA